CGAAGACTTAGAGGAACGCACCTTCTCCGGAGTCCATTTATGGATGATCACTTGTATCTTTGACGAGTTGTTGTATTGTGCTAAGAATGGCGATACTTACTGACGATGCCGACTACGATGCCGGCGAAACGTTTGGGAATGTACCACGTCCACGGTTTAACTTTGGAAATGATCATGCAGACAATGGACTCCCGACTAGGTGCGTTCCTCTAAGCCTTTCTACCAATATGACCATGTTGCGAAAACAAGGTCAAACAACCTCTATCAACAAGAATGTTTAAGTAGAGGCAATTAACAGATGGTCAGGAGAAATTTGTCGTCTTTTTCTGGTGGGATTGACCTTCGAATCTCTTCATCACTCGAAAGGTAAGTGAGCTCAACTAATATAACTCTGCTTCAGCTACAATTCCATTACAAAGTCATATGGTAAAAGGCCTGGCTATCTTTTATATTCACATCCTAACTGTAACCAAAATACGCTTTTGGCAGTGTGATTATTGGTTAACCTTTCAAAATTATACAAGGGTTTAAGTCCTATTGGAGGTGCTGATGAGACCTAGTGGAGATTCAAATTGCAGTTATGGCGTGAGGAAAATAGCTCTTGATAAGCAAGGTTATGTGAAATTCAATGTAAACGTTTGGTCTACTTATTAAATTGTTGGAAAATTTAACTTACTGTCTTTTATTAGCTTATACGAAGCAGTGTGAATACATTTCATTTCTCTAATTTACTAATTGTTTCGATACTCCCTCATCACGAGAATAAAATTCCTCTTGTTCCACTTGCGTCATCAGTCCCTCCACCATTTACTCTAACCTAACCCCTTTTCGCTCAGTTCCGCATGTGCTTGTAGGTTTGTTAATTCCAGATTCACTCCATGATTTAACTGGTGTACACGTAGCCGACGTATATCACGCCTTCCGTCTCCACTGCAGCACTTTTGTGATGTTGGAGTATATCTACATTATCTGTTATGATGCTTTTGGTTCTGGGTCCCTAGGTGGTTTACCTAGAAGGCCAGACTTCTACAGTATTCTAATATTTAATGTAACCCGTTCTGCTCTATAATTTCTTTCCGTGACTGCAAAGTCACTTGTGTTCTCTGCGTTTGTCCTATTTCCCGTCTCTCGGTTGCACTTTATCTCAGTCTTTGTAATTACTGTAAACTCCATTACTCCATTTTGTGCATTGGATGTTGTGTAGGTTAGCCTGTGAAGAGCGTTAGTTATCCAGTTAATTTATGCAATTAAACTTTCCAAATAACCATCTCTGTCTTAGTCTTCTTATGATTATACACCTGAGTACTCCGACCCTCAGTAGGTAATTATAGTGAGATTAGAAATTCATGACTATCTGTATGGGATTTCTTTCTGAACAACCTTTTCTTAACTGTTTCTTGGGAGCGACTTATCTCTACGTTCAAAGATTACAACTATCCGTTCTCCTCCACCTCCGTTGTTAAAGCGATTTTTCAATTAAGATCTATAGTTTTTCTTTCACATGAGATCATATCGCGAATTAATATTCCAAATATCACGTGATTGGTTTTGCTGCTGATGCGAAATCTTAAAGTCATCTTTAATCTTATTCAGTAGGATTGTTAAACCGATGGGCGTGCCAAATATCTGAGCATAGATGCTGTTGAATCTAAAATAAGTATTTCGTATCGTCAGGATGATCATCCGGGTTCAAGATTCACCTGGTATTCGCTCTGTAATTCTTATCGCTGTGGCTACAATACTATTACCAAGGGGTTTGATCTTAAGGATAACAGAACCAGTATCATAATATATTGCGTATTCTGACTACTTATTCATTTACATTTCAAAGCAAGATGATTTAGGTTCGCTTTGATAACTATCTTTTTACTGTAACTAATAGGAAGAGACTTAATTTCCAAGATCTTTGGGCCCCACCTTTAGGCATTTGGTACAATTACTAACAATACTTTTTTGTCATACATTGTTAATATTAAGATTTTTACTGAACTATTGTCTCTAGAAAATGTATTTTTAATCCTTACACAAGGCGACAGATCATTATCTATTGTTTCACTCAACATCTTGAATTCGTAATTCGTGTCCAAAGAATCTTTAACATAATCCTCAATAATTTTGTTTTCCTCTCTTGATTCATTCAGCCACCTATTACTCCAGAATCTTCTCACTTAGAAACCGACTTTGCTGCTAATACTTACATTCAAGCCTCTCTTCCTCCCGAACCTGTTGCAGCTGCTGTCAGCACCTCGTCCACTTCGGAAGTTTCCTGCTTTAACAATCCCTTACTTGTTTTTGGCCAATTTTCCGCGTCAGATCCACTTGGTCCTAGTATGGCCAAAGATTTTGGTCTGTTAATGGCCAACCATCGAACTCTGCCGTCTTCATCTGGGATGTCTGCTATGCTCCTTACACCCAATTGTCGAATACCTTCTGGTATGCCGACTACCAATCCCCCCACCACGCCCACTTCCTGCATCGATAATCATCAACCTGACCCTGTGGTCACTCGATCGATGAGCAGTGCGAATAAGCGTAACCAGACATCAACTGGCATTTCGGGAAACCAGGTCGCATCTGCAACTAGGCATCGATTAAACGGTCTTTACAATCAACAACAAAGCCAACGGCAACAACGCAAAGATCCCTCGTCATTATCGGAGCTCACCCGATCGCGACAAGTACCTCTTAATCGAAGTGACGACTCCAACAGTGGTGCATTTCCAAACAACTATTCTCAGGGGTACTCTTTACATGCAGGGGATTTGCTTTTCGCATCCTCATCGCAGGTCGTCGCACCACTCAATCAACAGGCCTCATCATGTGCTACACAGTCTTTGTCTCAGCCATCGGCACTCGGACTCATTGCACGTAATCTGGGGTCACAATTACGATCTCACCTAACCTCGGGACCGGCGCTTTTTCCCCAGTATGCATTGCCTTTCAGTTTTCTTCCTTAAAATTCCTTTTTTAATTATTTACCAAGTGATATTTTTCCTTATATTCGATTGCCCAGAATAAGCATCATAATTCCCACTTAAATGAAAAAAGTAGTTACACTGTCCATGTTCGCTATTTGTGCTTTCCTGGCCATATCCTGTATTACTAGTATCATTATCAAGGAATGAGAAATCAGTTATTCATCCAATCAGTATGTACATGCTAGATGGAAAAAAAGCATCACCAAAAGACTTATTGATTCATGTTCACTGCATATGTAGAATACCAATAATTGTTAATGATCATATATTATCCTAACTATCTGGCTTCTTCCTAACTTCTTGTCGCTGCATGCAGCTGCGTATTAATCAACTGAAAAATTCATCTTAATCAAGGGTTTCGAGGGCATCTCATTTAAATATTCAAATTCATAACTTTTGTGTTTTCAGTTTGCCTAGCTCTATTAATCGATAGTTAATATTTCCTTTAAAATCTCACCATTATAAAATAATAATTCTTAGTTCAAATTCTGACTTTTAAACTTGGTATGCGTGCTATTTTCGTAAGGAAGATTGTTTTTCCTCTTAAAGTTCTTTTATCTTTGTAGTTATCCCCAAAGTTAAGTCCGTAAACAACTCTCCTAGTTGATTAGACAGGCAAGCGCACATTGTCATGACGTATTTATTACATTGCTTAATCTGCTCTTTATTATTTTCCATATTGGCGAGGCATCTAGAGCATAGGCCGTCTCTCGCGGGGAATAAAGTTTCATCTAAGCTAAATCACTGTTGGCTGATTCGAATTAGTAGGACTTCTCTCAAATGTTGCCTATCGTATCATTTACTCTTTAAAACATCAAATATTTGGGACCACAAAAATAATGGCATCATTCGGAGGCTCTATGTATGTGTATGTAAGTTCCACAATACCTCCCTGTCGCTCTGACTAAGCTGCGAAAATGAGGTTAATCCATAGATTTAGAAGAGTTTGGAGGCACACTAGCATAGTTTTTTAACTTATTTGCGGATAGACAGCTGATAATGAATACGACCGTTGCTGGAATTTCGCATTGAGTTCAGCAAAGCATGCGGATTTTCCTAATTCGTTTTACACTAATCTTACTTCCAAAGCCGAATGTGCCATCGTTTTAGGCTTCATTTTGAAAAAAAATCATCTCGCCAAATATGTTTGTTAGCTTATACATGACTATTAAATTTTTTTTTTAATTTATAGATTTAAATAAGTCAAATGAATGCTACAGGGCATATGATTTTATGTATATCCATATCATAACGTAATTAGAGAATAAACTTTTTTGGCCTTATATTTATTACAGACTATTGGCAAGGAATTAACAACATTGTTTCATAGCCACCAGGAACCTGTTTGTCGTCGAGGTAGACCAATTTCGACGGATTTTAGCATTTAACTAGTAGCAGATATACTCATGCTGAATTAAAAGGAAAGCCTGAAATGTGAATTGCCTTTTACTTCGCAATCTTTTCAAAAAGACTGTTATCAACCATCCAGCTTATCCTGTTTAATTGAAACTACACGCTTTCCTATGTGTAAATTTCTTCATAAAGTGATGGGAACAGAACATAGTTTGATTATACCTGAAGTTAGGATTGTCTTGTGACTAAAGGGCTGAATTGTTCAGCTCCTAATCAAATATTATGTTTATAAATCAATGATTATCCATTTTTCCACTGTCTAACCTATATTTCTGTATTCTTTTTATCTAACACGGATATATTATTGGAATATAGCACTTATTGCTTTCACATCATCAGAAACCTCTAACCAAATGATCGACTTGTAAATGATAACCTTTGTCAGGCTAGAACTACACGATCCCACTCATTCAGTCATATATGTCAGCCTCAATTACCTAGAGTTTTACTCATTAATAGGGCATTATGATTATTTTCTACTGCCTTACTTTCATTCTAGCATATTCATACTTCGCAAGAATAGTCGTTTTTATCCATTCTTTTCTCAGACACCAAGGCGAACCAATTCCTGACCAGCTTTTGCGTGACTGGATTCATCATTCAGCGCTTCGACTTCGCCAGCGCATTGTCTTTCACCTCAAGCAATCATCTTTAGTCACATCCTGTCATTCTGCCGTCCAGGCGGATGGGAATAGTTGTCAGATTATGAGCAACCTCGCTTATGATCAGCCTCATCTCCTTAATAGCGGGGTAAGCCTAGTCTTAATTCTATTTAGATTAATTATAATTCACTATTATTCTTCTCTTCCCTTTCTTCCTGAATCATCGTTTATAGCTAACCTTTCTTGACAGACATCTGATATCCTGATGGAATAGTATCGTTTGATTCGTTATGTAAGCACGAATAGTTATTCGTAGCATACGCCTAGTTATAACGGATTATGCCAAAAGATACAATTATGAATATAGTGCTTTGCCTTGAAACACTACGTACAATTTTAAACTCATATTCCATATGAGATATAAATAATGGCTAACATTTGACAAAAAATTACATTAAGGTTACAATGAATGGCAAAAGTCTTACGCGAAATCAAGCCGTTTCTTATTTTATTAACTTGGATTCAGTTAAGAATATCTCAACTACCATTTGATCTTTTATGAATTCTTATTAAATGTGATATTAATCTATTGTGAACAATCATTCTTTTTCACAAATATATTTATGAATGTTATCATAGTACGATCATATTTGACGATTGATCAACAATTGATTTAACGTATTTAATAACACTTGTGTCCTCAAAACGAAATCTTCACTTGCATAAATCTCTGATCTCAATTATCCATAATCAACTTCCTCATTCATATTTGATTTCAGTCACTGCTTGTCAAAAGCCAGATACATTAATATACAATTAAATATCCTCAATGTCATTAAGGTGATATTTTTCGAGTTAAATATTCTTATTTAACTCCACCGTTATAACTGTAATTCATTTTTCATCTAAAAGAACCAGACCATAATCCACATTCTGTAAAAATGCTTGATGCAATCCCTGATTACGCTATTTGCAAGGATTTAGAGCAAATGGTGCCCATGCCCATGTCAACGCCTGGAAATCTTCCTCATTCTTTGGGACCCTTTGTCTCGCTTAAGTCATAACCACTGGTGTGAAAATGCACCACTTCCCTTTTTCTCCTCCTAAATAAAAAAAAACACATTCCTCTCGTCCTT